TCTCTTGTGGTTTCAAGAGAGGTGGTATTTCTAAACTCTTACAAATTGTTTTTCTTTGTGACTAATATTTGTAATTGTTTTGTGTTAGTGAAAAAGGTTTATCTTGTTTGAGATAAGCAACTGGACGTAGGATCCGAGTGATCTGAACCAGGATAAAATCACCTGTGCAATTTTTCTCTTTTCCTTACTCTGTCATTTATATTTAATTATCTGCCCAGTAAGAAAAATTAAGAGAAAAATAATAAAAGGCACAATAAAAGTATATAACCAATTCACCCCCCCCCCCCCTCTTGATTTGTTCCACGCTAATAATTCCGTTGCAGCGATTCTAACAAGTTTCGATTCCTTTTTCCTGCAATTCTTAGTTTGAGATCATGCTTAGTGATTTCTTGACGCATGTGTTTCTTGATCTCCATTCCTAGTTCTTTGTTGGTTAGAGGATCTAAGGACTCTTTGTGATCACAATTTTGTGTCTTGTTGGTGTTTCTAGAGTTCCTTGAACTCTAACTCAGAGTTTCAATGTTAATAAAGCTTAGTAGCTTTGGCTTAATGTAAGGGAAGCTAGTGTTATATTTTGATAATTTAGTGTTTGGAATGTTGATTTTTTATTGAATTATGTTGGTATGCATTGCTAGTTAAGTTTGGAAATGATTTTGGTTTTGAATGTTGTTGTTGAGATGTTGAACGATGTCAACTCTGTTATAGTATTGAGGAGAAGTGGTTGGATTAATTTATAAGTAATTTCTAGGCATAAAATGCAGTGTTGATAGGTGAAAATTTGAAGTATAGGTTGTATGAGTAAAATTCACTTTTTGGTGTTCTTATAAGGTCATTTTAGACTGGTTGAGACCTTGAGATTGGAGAAATCTGATGTAGAACTTATTGGTAGTTGATAAGATGAGTTTTGTATGACTTTTATTCATTTTTGGGGGGTTTTGACTAGTGAAATTCTAAAGTATAGGGTCTGTGATGAAAATGAGGGTTTGAGGTCTATAATTGGGTTCATTGTGACTTGTTCACACCCTTAGGTTACAAAATTCTGAATTAGAGGTGTGAATTTGAGTTTAGGCACTTTTGTGTTAGTTTTGTGCATCTAATTTCTATCCAAATGACCAATGTAATACTCTATTTTCATCTATAAACATGTCTTCGTATTAATCTTTGTGTTACATATCCTAAATTGATCATTTGGATATGTCTACGATGCACCAAAACTAGAAAAATCAGGTTATTGTAAAAAAACTGACAAGAATAATCGATTGTCTCACTTGATAATCGATTATTCCAAAATCGATTATTCTAGCCAGAAGGTAATTATTTCTTCAAAGCTCTCAGAAATAATCAATTATCACATATGATAATCTATTATTGTAGTTCGAAAATCATTTTTACATGATTTCTCTCGGGAATAATCGATTATCAGGTGTGATAATAGATTATCTTTAAAAAACTTAAAATTTTAATTTTGTTGGGGCATTCTGTATGTAGGTTGGTTTCTTTTGTTCTATACTTTTTTTTTGTTTCTTATGGATAAAAATGAAATGATAATGTAAGCCTTGTTTAGTAATATCAATTGAATTTTGTAATGTAGGGAGCTTAGTCTTGGGGTTATCTTGACACTCTAATGATCACTTATTCTCAAGTACAGAGGGGTGAGGCATGTGGTGAAAGTAGTAGGAGGTCCTAGTCTAGGGGCTTTACCTTGGCCTAAGGCGTTGTTTAACGGACTAACCTTCTGTGGTAGCTTGGAGTAGGCCAGTTGTTTCACCATTACAAGTGCATTACCCGCCATAGCTTGGCATTCATACTTTATATAGATGGTGCAACTTTCACTAGTGCAGCGAAGGAAAATGATAACGGTTGTTTCTGACAATACACTTCGGTTTTCAAACCGAGGCCTATACTGGCGAGGTAAAAAGGTGGGGGACTTTTGGTCTCGGTTCCAACCGAGGTAATATCCCAATGGACATTGCTTCGGTTCTTCTACACCAGAAGTAGTAAGGAAGAAAAAAAAAGAGGGGAAGGGGAGGGGTTATTACCTCGGTTCAATCGAGATAATAATGTGGGCCTATGACGGCAGTTCAAGCTAGAACTGATGCCAAAGACCTTTATTTTTTTTAAAAAAATCACGTGCACCCTAGGGCACTGGTTGTGGTTGAACCGGGGTCATAGACAGGCTTTCTACCTCGGTTTTGGCCACAATCGAGGCCTATTTTTCTGGAATTTTTTTTAATAGCAAGTCTGGTTTTATGATATGCACTATCACAAAAACAGACTTGCATGTAAAACACAATATATACAATACAGAATCAACACATAATTTTTAAAGGATAATGTAAAAAATTTAATAACTATAAATCAACATGTGCTAATGTATTCTAAATCCTAATAATTATGAACTATTATATAATCTAATTAAATGTTTTGCAAGTGCCTTCCTTAGGAATGTAAGTGGCTTCTCAGGAAGTGGAGTAGGAGTCTTCAATCTCTGCACAAGACATATGATATTAATTAGTGTATATGAATTCCAAATGATGGATAAAATCAAAATTCATTAAATTTAAATATTACCGTTTTCTTGCCACTTCTAATATGGGCACGAATAGTGTGTGTCATCTGAAACATTACGTAGTATCCACACTCATATGCTCACTTTGTTTGTGACACTACATTAATATATTCACAATTGTAAAAAGTTAGTGAAAATCATTAAAACAAAACAACTATAAGAAAGTATGACTTTAGTATATGTCAAACCTTGAGAGTCAACCATGCAAGCTTTATACTGTTAGCATTTGATCTCTCAGACAAAATCATATGTGTTCCAATGGAACTATTGAAAGCAAAAGGTTTTAGCATTCATTTGTATAACAAAGAAAGTCCAAACATTGAGGTTGTTACCAATCAACTACTTGTCTGATATGTTTGGGAGGACACTTATGCAATGAGCATAACCACACAACATAGCTCTCCGGTATGGAAACAATAAGTATTTGCCAATGGGCGCGTTAGTATCCCATTTTTCTACTAGTGCTTGGTCTTTGGCATGATTATGATGTTTGATTTACTTTGTGTGAAATATGATGCATGATGAATCTTAATATTCTATGTCTGATTCTTTTCTTCATTAGCCTAGCCTTTTTTGTGTGTTTTGTGTTTGGTTGTTGTGTATGTTTGGTTCTTGTTACAATGATCATCTGGTGGGTGTGAGCAAAGGGTGAAAATGTCTCGGTTGAGCAAGCTTTGGATGGTGATGTAACAGAAGTTTAGTTTCACTAGTGTAGTCAAGGAAATGAGAACGATTATTTTTGCCTATAGGTAGCGGTTCCGCAACCGAGACATATAAAGGCGAGGCAAAAAGGGGTAGGCCTTTTGCCTCGATTGTGAACCAAGGCAAAAGGGGTAAGATTTTGGCTTGGTTCATAAATCAGAGACAAACAATTATCCGACGTCGAACTATAAAAATTAGTAAGTTTACTGCGTACAAAATAGGGAAAAGAGTTTGTTTTGGGAGCTAATGGTGTATTGAGATTCAGAGGCAGAGTCTGTGTTCCTGATGATGTTGAACTGAAGAGATTGATCCTTGAAGAAGGACATTAGAGTCATTTTAGCATGCATCCTAGCATGACTAAGATGTATCAGGATCTCAAGGAATCTTTTTGGTGGTTTGGGATGAAAAGAGATGTAGTACAATTTATTTTTGCTTGTTTGACTTGTCAAAGAGAAAAGGTGGAGCATCAACGACTGGGTGGTTTGTTACAGTAGTTGGAGATTTCTAAGTGGAAGTGGGATAGGATAGCCATGGACTTTGTTATCCATTGACCACGGACGATTAGAGGTCATTATGCTATTTGGGTTATAGATGACAGGTTAACTAAGAGTGCTCATTTCTTGGCAGTGAACCTGAGGATGTCTATGACAAAGCTTGCTCAATTATATATAAGAGAAATAGTAAGGCTGCATGGAGTACCGTCGAGCATAGTGTCTAACAGAGATCCACGATTTACATCCAGGTTTTGGCAGACTTTGCAAAGTGAGCTGGGAAGCAGATTGCAGATGAGTTCACGTATCATCCCTAGACAGATGGTCAGTTTGAGAGAATGATCCAATCACTTGAAGATTTGTTGTCGACGTGTGTTTTGGATCATTTGGAAGTCTAGGATGAGGTGTTGTCATTGGTGGAGTTCACCTACAACAACAGTTATCAGTCCAACATTGGTATGGCACCATTTGAAGCACTGTATGGTAGACGTTGTCGGACGCCTCTTTGTTGGTTTCAAGAGGGAGAGTCAGTATTAGTTGGACCGAAGTTGATTCAGCAGACCACTGAGAAATTGAAGCTTATACAGGAAAGGATGAAGGCTTCTCAGAGTAGGCAAAAATCCTATGTTGATAAAAGACGGAGACCGTTAGAGTTTGCGGTTGGGGATCACATTTTCCTTAGAGTGACTCCTATTACTGGTATAAGTAAAGACATTCGTTCTAGGAAGTTGTCTCCAAGGTTCATTGGTTTGTATCATATTCTAAGCTGAGTAGGACCAGTGGCCTATGAGATAGCTATACCTCCTCAACTTATAAATCTACATCTAGTGTTTCATGTCTCACAGCTTAGGAAATATGTGTCAGATCCTTCTTATGTGTTAGAGGTGGACGATATGCATGTCATAGATGATCTCTTAGTGGATGTTCTTCCCATAGGGATTGTGGAGAGCCAGATGAAACAACTTAGAAGAAAGACCATCAGTCTAATCAAAGTTGTCTGGGATAAAAGGACAGGTGACTCTACTTGGGAGTTAGAGGGAGTCATGAGTAAGTCTAATTTTTGAGGTCGAAAATTTTGTTGTTGAGGAGAATGTAAGAACCTAAAAATGGATATTAGAGTAAATAGGTGTTTTAAAATATTGAGACCGACTATTTTATTTTAAAATAGTAAATAAGTCAATATTATAGATAAAAACTTCATACAATTGTCTCATTACTCAAAAATACTTCATCTCTCTAGAACCCGCTCTCTAAACTCTCTCTACCTTCTCTCTACCCTTTCTTCTTTTATAATCATCTATTTGACGATCAGGAAGTTCCTATGTGATCACCGCTAAGTTGTCTTCATTATCCACCGATCAATTTCTACAATAGAGCAAGTAAGTTTCTAACCCTTTTTCTCAGTCTATCTTTGTCTTTGATAATGTGTATCAAATTTGTCCCGCATGTATAAAGTGTTTTTCTTCTTTGATTCTTGGTTAATTATGGGTCCTAAGATTTCATCCCAACTATCATTCTGTCAATTATAGGCGTTTACCTAAAATTCTTCGTGGTGGGAGCGTCGGTCGAGTAATTATTGGACTGTCTTAGCTTTTTCCAAGGTAAGGGAAGCTAATTTACTTTTCATATGTATTGTAAGATGTTTGAAATTTGTGAATTGTGTGTGTTTGGTTATATGGTAATTTATGATGTTAAATTTGGGAAAAATGTTGAATGCGAGTACACTATGTTGTGTTTTAGAATTATGAAGTTTGGTTGTTGTTATGAGTTATGATATGATGAAGTTAATGTGTTGTTGAGATAAAAGGGTATTAATAATGATGGTTGGGAAGGTGTCAAAACTATACTCTAGTTTTGTAGCTTAAATTGATGAAGTGGGTATGTCAAGTTTTGAAATAATGATTATATTTGTGGAATATGCAGTTTGTAATTGGTTTTGGAGTGATTTATGGTTTGTTATCAACATTAGATGGTTAAAGTTTAGGATGTTATGGGAGGAAGATAAAATGAGCACAAATCTTACTTATTTGGGAGGGAAAATTTAGGATTTTGGTAGGTGGATTTTTTAGTAAGCATTGGGTTGGGAAAAGAGGGATATTTAGGGGTTGTTTTGAAGTCTATTTGGACTTGTGAGGGTGATTAAACTAGTAAAATCTGGTTTATTATGCATAAAAGTGTTGATGAGGCTTGATTGAAGTGAATTTAAGTCCTTTAATAGGGTGTGGGTAGTGAATTTAAAAATGGGCAGTTCTGTTGGAGTGAGAGTTGGATTAGAGTCCATTATTGAGTCAATATAAAATTGGTTGCGCAGCAAAATCAGTAACATGTGTGGTATTAGAGGTAGATTTGAGTTGGGTAGCTTATTAGAGTGAATTTGAGTTTTCATAGGTCAATTTGGGTTTGGAGTGGTCAATTCAAGCAAGAGGTATGTTCTTAGATGTTTCTCAGCACCTAAGAGTGTTTAGGAATCATTTAAACTTGTATAGAGGGTCACCAAAGTAAAAATATGTGAATTTTAGAACCTGGTGCAGCGTTGGGCGCCCTCCAAAGGGGCCCTCGGGCGTTTTTGCGAGAATAATTCGCTTGGGCGCCCCTGTTCCAAGGGTCTGGCATCCGGGCACCCCTTTTTCGGGTGCTAGGTGCAACCCAGCAGAATTAGATCTTTTTTCAGTTTTTGGGATTTCAAATTTGGGGTTCTGGTTATCGGTTTTTGACGTTCTTTAGGTCGTTTTGGGGGTTTTGGACCCTTCTGGTGCTAATGGTGAGGGTTTCAAAGTTGTTTTCCTTACCTAAATAATAGTATCAATATGCTATGAATAAATTGTGTTATTGGGTGTTTTTTTATGACTTGTATGATTGTTTCTATTCCTTTATGTATGATCAGTAGTCTTACGTATTGGTGTACTATGTGAATGTGAAGTGATATCAATGCTTACAAAGTTGTGTAGAGAGTTCCAAGGAGGAATTTCTTATTTAGGGTTTCATGTGAAACTAGTATAAATTGTAAGAAGTCGATATGTAGGTTATCCTGACACTCTAATGATCATCCATGCTCAATTAAAGAGTGATGAGTCATGTATTGAGAAGAGCAGGAGGTCCTAGCCTGGGGCCTTTCTTCATGGTGGCAAAGGGCGTTTTTAAGGACTAACCTTATGTGACAGTTTTGAGTGAGTCAACTGTTTCTGCACACAGGTACAAAACTATTCATGGCTCGACATTTATACTAGATAGTAAAGGGTTTGGCCAAGTCTGAGTCAGTATGTGTGAAGAGAAACATTGTTATAATTATGGTGTGCAGTTTTATTACAATATAATGTAACTGATATCATTTATCCTTTTTATTGTAAAATTTTAAACAAACCATTCATCAAACAATCCCATAGTTTGACTCACTAATAATTGATCTCAAAATGCATTTTAAAAATTCTAATTAAGAAGATTTTCAGTGGCAATGATAATAACAATAACACTAATTTTAAAACATTACTAATAATATTCTATAGAAATTGCATTTTAAAAAAATTATAATACAGTTTAGCATTTGTTTTTTATAAGACGACGTTAATATGTTATTAGTATTTCTTTTAGTACCACTAATATAGAAAACAAAAAACTCAAAATCACTATATATAAAAATAATGTTTACTATTTTTATAAAATTCAATTTCTATTTTTATTTCAATGTTTTCAAACAAATGCAAACTAATTGTTTTTTCTAAATTCTTTTAAATAAATAATAGTGTTTTTCAAATAATTGCAATATATATTATATATATATAGATAGATATATGCGCTTGCGTGTATGTATTATTGTACAATCATTCTGACGAATAATTTAAAAAGAAGATTTTTTAAATTTAATTTAGATGCCAGGATCTTTTTATAAATTTCATTTTTAGTTTTGAAAGAAACAATCTGTTATATTTGTAAGGAAGCTCTGTATTTCCGTACTATTATATATTTTATGGTGTGGCCCATTTAATAAACTTTTAATTCATTATTAAACTATTTGACAATATATAGTTGACATTTGAAAAGCGGGACAAACTAATCAACAAGAAACGAAAGAAGAGTAAGTATAACTTTGGCTGTTTGCTACTTGCTTCGGTACGAAAAGATGACAAAATATAAATAAGAGTTAATAAAGTTGTCCTTAGGTAGCATTTCTTGCTCTATATATGTTGTTAGCTTCAATCATAATACATTTGCATCACCGTGTCTCGTGTATGTTCTCACTAAAGCCAAAAATGTCAACCACCATCGATATCCCAGAATCAAGTAAAGTTGTGGTTGCGGCACCACTAAGGCCAGGAGGATGGAAAAAAGGGTTAGCCATAATATAAGTCTATTTTACTTATGATATTTTGTCCTGGGTATTATAATTTCATTTAGTGAATAATTTCCTAGTTTTGGACTTGCTGATCCAACAGTAAATTAGCATGATATTTTGTTATAGACTTTTATATGAAATGCAGGTGTTTCTCACTCTAGCCACTGCCGGTGCTGCTTCAGCTGCTGCCGTAGTTTACTTAGCACACAACGGTGATCAGGACACGAACTGGTTAGCCATATGCAACCAATTTGGAGACTTTTGTGCCCAGACCAGTGCAGCTGTGGTGTCATCGTTCGTTGCCGTTGTTGTCTTAGTATTGGTTATTGTGATGTCTGCTTTAGCAATTGGCAAGCCTTGAAAATTAACGTATTGGGGCTTTTAAGTTAAATGAACTATTGCAGTTATATATAAATATTTTGCATGTTCTATTTGTTTCCGAAGTATGATGTGCTAATTATAAGTAACACCTCGGCTTGTTTTAATTTCCTCCAAGTATGATGTGCTAATTCATTACTTGTATACATCTGGTCATTCTAATATTATATGCACAGTTTCAATTTCAGCCAGTGTGTTTTACTTTGCACTAATTATTCTTTACTTAACTTTCTCTTGCGGTACTTTCCTCAATAAAAAGACCCTGTTCCATTATTTTTCTTCTTGTGATCAACATATTAGAAGAATAATGAGACAATGAAAGATTTAATTATAGGTACTATATGTTATATATCAGACAGGGAAAATTGTAATTTTCACATCATACATATAAAAAAAAATACACTACCTATAAAATTTCATTTAAATAGTATTAATATTATAAAGGAACTATCACATAACAATTATTCAAAAAGGAACCCTAGTAAAAAAATATTTTTTAACACGCAATATACGCCTTGATTTTACTGAAACGGAAGCGTATAAAAGCGCAGTGGCATTTTCATAGTTTTAGCGAAAGTATATGCCTCGGTTGTCAAGCAACCGATGCCTAAAGGGGGATAATGCCTCAGTTCTGTGAACAACCAAAACAGAATACCCTGCCTAAAGCGGATTTTCACCTGCCAGACTTTTTGAAATAGGGTTTACTGCCTCGATATCGAGGCAGAAAACCCTGCTAAATAGTACTTTTAACCTGACAACCTTTATGATATAGGGTTACTGCCTAAGTTGGTTAGAGAACCGAGGTTGTAGAGGTTGACAAAAGGTATTTGGAACTTCTATGCACTGACAACCCATGATTCAAGACGTTCTATCGCAAGCTTTATGACTTCAGTTGCCCCCTAACCGAGGCAATATGTTGTTTATGCTTTGGTTTTAAAGTTAAACGAGGCATAAAGTTATTAACAATTTTATTTTTAAAATTTTCTAGGGGTTTACGCCTCAGTTGCAATTTTGACTAAGGTAGTAAGGGTGTTATTGCCTCGGTTTAATGGAGAACTGAGGCAATAATCCATATAAATTTCAGAAAATGCGAAACAAAAGCACTCTTTTGTTGTTCATCTTTTTCCTCGCGAAATAGAAATCCTTATCCGTCGCGACCATTGCCACTCTTTCTCCTGTGTTTCCATCGCCGGTGACTGCAATTCTTCTTCCCCAGGCACACAACAACCATCGTTCTTCTTCTTCCATTGCAGCATTGCCTCTTTCGCCATAGTCGCCATCGTCGCAAGACCATTGCCCCGAACTGGCATGCATCCGTAGTCGCCACCGATGCGCGACCACCCCCCAACTATCGTTCGCCATTTTTGCCGACCCTTGCGTCTGACACCATTGCTGCCAAGCTCCTAGGTTCATTACTCTTTCCACTTTTTTGCGTTTTACTGTTTGATGATTGTGAAAAAATGTTAATGTGTATGATATGATGTGAAAGATATGTTGGATTTTAGATTTGTGAATGTCAAAGAGTGGGTTATATTGTGATTAGCATAAATTAGTTTAAGTATCTCATTGTCAATCTAATATAAATGATATTAGCATATGTTAGTTTAAGTTTTGATTAGATTAGTTTAGGTAATGACTAAATTACTTTAACATTATGATCATAATCGCTTTTGGGAATAATTTCCTACTAAAATTTATTATCATGGATCACAAAACAGAGACATTGTAAAGATAACATCAAGTATCAACATTTGAAAATTTAAGGTTAGGAATCATGTGATTAATGAATGTGTTGTTTTGTTTTTGTCGAGATATTGTTGTAGCTTCTAATAAGCGGATATTTTCCATAGTTGACCGGTTTTCATGCTTCCAGGTTCCTATTCTTAAAAATTTTGTTTTAATATCAACATATAATTAATTACTTGCTTGAATATATTATATGTTGCATATGTAATTATTTGTTTGTTTGAATATATTCTTGTTTTGAATTAGCCTTAGTTTCCTATTTTGAGATTCAATACCAAAATTATTTATTATCTCAAAATATATTTTTTTAAGAAATGTACTTTTTACAAATGAATAGAAAGGAGATGGTAATATTAATTTACAAGTATTGAATCTTGAATTGTCCGATTGAACAATTTAAGAAGAGTAATAACTTTTCCATAATTTATTAATACATATAAATTTTAATATACATGTCTTAAATTTCATGAAAAATTTGCAGTTGTGTTTTGTATTAATCTTCGGGTGCATATTTGATTGTGATTTATAATCACTTTCATTTCGTGTAACCTGAAGACGAATGCAAAATGCTCCCATAATTTCGTGAAATTTGTTGAGATTGTTGATAGGGGGACTAAAGGTTTAGCTTAACCCATAATCTCAGTAATATCTGAGTTTTTGATGATGACTCATCACGTATTAAAATTTAAATTATTTTCTATTTATATCATATGAAAATAAAAAAAAGTTATAAAATAAATATTATTTTAATTTTAATAAATAGCATTTTTTAAATAACATTAATACTAATTTAATAAAAAAAATCAAATTAAATATTAAAAGAAAATCAATTAAATACAAAAAATTATAAAGTAATAGTATTATTATGAATATTATTCAAATAATCTATTTATTTTATCAAAACGATATCATATATACTACAAGAAATAAACTTTCATGTATGTGTCTATGTTTATATTATGATAAAAGAAATAAAAACTTAAAATTAAAGTAAATTATAAAAATATTTCATAAGTAAATAATTTTTATGATTTATTGTCATAGTTAACTAAATTTCAAAAGACAATTATAAAATCTAAACGATAAAATGATAAAATTTGTCTAAAAAAAGCAATTAAGAAGATGACTCCCTTAATTAATTTGCTGGTAAAACACACTTGTTTTCATATATTAATATTTTTATTACATTAAAATAATATAATTTTTAAAATACTTATAACTTTATGAATTTATACTTGTATTATTTTTATGAATAATTAATTGAAAATAGTACTAAATAATATATTTAATTTTGTAAAAGTAATATTAAAAGTTTATGCAAAAAATTTTTAAAAGGAAAATTTATTTAATCATTTTAAAATAAAGAAAGATTATTCATTTTTTTATTAAGTGAAATATTTTTTATTAGTTAAAAAGTAAACCTGTCTAATTAAAATATAATATCAAAGAAAATTTTCTCCTTATTTAGTAATGCATATTAATGATATCAATTTTACATAATAATAAATAAAATAAAAAGTATTATTAATTTTATAAAAATATGATCATAAATAATTATTTTTATCATTTTACTGTGGATAGTTTTTACTTTATGGTGAATAGTTTATCAAGTTTTAAAAATAGTTCCAAAACCTAGAAGTTGAAACTAAAGATTTGTCTACACAAAAAAATAGCTAAAAGAAAATAATCTTTATGAATGGTAGACATTAACAACCCCATTTAGATGACAATAAAATAGCAGCCTGTAAGTTTCATTTTAATTGTATCTTACTTTCTATCATTGTTAGCAGGGAAAATGAGCATTGTAATAGTACAGAGGGGATAAAGAAGTTATCTCATGATTTATTTGTTGTGGAGAAATATAGTACAAATTGAAATAAATTATTTATAAAAGGTGATCATTTTAAAATGGTAAAGTTTAAAAATATGAAATGTTATAATTACGTGTTTTCTATTATTTGTGTTAGGTGCTCCATTTTGGACCGTTTCCTAGTTTCAAAACATCAAATTCATCAACTTTAAGGACCTGAAACACAATCTATCAGTTTGAATATGTTTTTGACCATTTTGATGACTCAAACAAGTCAGAACTGACCTACCTAAATTATCCCATCAAACCAATTGGGCCCTTGACATCTAATTCTCATTTCCACTACCTCACTTCCTCTAAAATGACTCTAAACAAACACAATTCACTTCACTTTCTATCTAATCACTACTATAACAGATTACTCACGTTTAATATGTTCAATTACAGCTGCACACACCATCCAATTCAGTTCACAATCATCATTTCACAATGTCATGATTTGGCATTTAAAGAACACATAATTTAATCTACTCAAAACCTAAGATTCAACTCAAACAGCACCATAACACAGAATTTATCACACACATGTCATACTACTAATTAAAACAAAAATCTAGCTTCCCTTACCTTGACTTAACAGTTCACGCCCTCTAAACACTCCGTGGATTACTTGCAGTACAAGGAACTCTTAGAAAACCTACAATTCACCGATTAATAGTTGGAACCCAACCTTAAAATCACTAGAAATTTAGGAATTCAAGAAGATGAACACCCAGTTCATGCAAGAGCAGAATCATCTACAAAAGTTAAGAACCCTAAAGGCCAAGAAAGAGGGTTTTTCACTTACTTGACCAAATCCAGAATTTGATCGATGAAAGAGGTAGCTCTTGATGCCAGGATTGTCTAGGCACATCCTGATCGTCAAACCGACACCCCAAATGAGAGAAGATCTAGAGAGAAGGTAGAGAACTCTAGGTGAATAAGGTTCTAGAGAGAGAAGTGTTTTAGATAATGAACCGAGTTTTAGAAAATTCTATTTATATTATAAGATTATTTTAAAATAACTTGATCGTCTCATTATTTTAATACACATATCTACTCTAATACTCTATTTTCTAGGTTCTTACAGAATCGACGTTGACTTCCTCTTCTTCAAGCACTGCATTGTCATGCTATAGCTTTTTGTATTAAACCACTAACTTACATAACCCACTACAAAACTCTATTGTTTATGTTGTTGCTTGAACGACCACATTTTACTTGGACTAAGAGTTTTCAAAGAAAAGATAATTATTTTGGCATCTCTTGCTCAAACTCTAAGTTATAGATTGAGCAATGAGTGTTTTCTCTCAAGCCATATGTTTTTGGTGTTTTATTGACCTTGTTTTGTACATTCATTGTTATCATTACATAACTGGTGCTCAAATAATCAATTTCATACTAAACCTATATATGGAAAAAAAAAGCAAACAATACATTTCTTATTTGACATACAAATCAAATTCAATTAATTTTAATTTATTTGCCATGTTAACCAACACATTAAACTTATTTTTCACTTCAACTAATTAATATTCTAACTCAAACTAATTTTGACCACCGAACACTTAAATTAAGTAAAAATGTAGTTG